CGAAAGACCAAAAAAAAAAAAACAAAAAAACAAAAAAAAACAGATCTTTCATTTGTCCTGCGGATTGGGCTGAGACTCCTTCATGGGGTTGGGGGCTGCTGGAGAGGCTCTCCAAAGGAATCTGTCCTCTGATCTTCCCCAACTCTGCCTTTCATGGCTGGGCCTCTCTCTCTCTCTCTCTCTCTCTCTCTCTCTCTCTCTCTCTCTCTCTCTCTCCCCCTCCCCCCCCCGCCAAAGGGAACCCCCTCCTCTTTCTTTTTCATATCCCATCTTGTTCAGATCTCCCGATATTGCATTGCTTCTGTCTAGTGTGTTCCATTCCCCTAGAGGCCCAATCATGACCTCGAGGTTCTTCTAATAAACCTTACTGGAGAGAAATAGGTACCTGCTCTCTCTCAGGACCAGCAGGCTGCTGCTTTACCTCTTTATGTTTAACATCACAAAATCCAACTTGGCAAAACAGTGAGTTTATTGGGTTCACTTACGGAACATGGGTGAGGGGTTACTTATAGGAGAATGAGTCACACCCCCCCTCCAACTTCACATCCTCACCTCATCATGGATAATGACCTAATACAAGTTGCCTCATGGAGTCCTCCTTTTAGTTAATCTACCCCTTCCTATATGCTAGATAGGATGTATAGTATATATTCTAGTCTCTCACCAAATGGCTTGCAGTTGAGGAGGGAAAAAGAAGGGGCAATGGTTGGAACCCCAGGTGAGGATCGTAAGACCCTTTCATCCATTCCTCTACTAAGGAGTGCTGACAGGTCCATTGGCATCATTACAGATCTCACTACTCTACTGTTCTGTTCAATTAGTTGCTATGGCTACCAGGCCAAGGTGACCTCTGTTCCAAGATGATGATTGGCCAAGCATATTATTTCTGGAGGAAAAATGCCATACTACAACACGCAGTCTCCCCAGCAACTGAGACTATGTGTGTATGCCACCAAAAAAAAAAAAATAACATTTTTCTCTATTTAACCACCATCTTCTCCAGGGCCTGCCTGGCCTGGGGGAAACTCCAGCAACTTTTCCATCTGCCAGAGTGAGGATGCTAGCCACCTTCACTATGCCTCTGCTCCTTCAGCATCTTTCTCTTGAGATCTGAAATTAAGGCTTGGATGTATGGAGCATACAGGAGCTTGTGGCTGGAAGAAAGGCTGCTGCAGGTGGGCGTGGCCTGAGTAGCAGTCTGGTCTGGATTCTAACACCAGAGGCTTGCTCATGCCAGGCATGCTCTATCCCCAGTACTGTAGCAATTGCTTTAGAGAGAGAAGATCTAGTTTGACTTCTCATGCCTCAGGTCCTTAATGTAGGCAGTATTGATCCAGTGACTCTCTGGCCCAGTGTAGGTTGGCTTCCTAATTGTTCCTCTTAGTTATTCTTTGGCTCTTCGAAGCTCCATCTCCAACTCAAGCTTCAGTTCCAGGCTTTCTACTCCTGAGTGGTCTTTGATGTTTCCTCATCCACACTTAACAACTCAACTTCTTGCTTCTTCTAGTCTTACTGATGTCAATAGTAACACCAGTTTTCTTTGGCTGGAAGGGGAGTTTGGGTAGAATCCATTACAGGAAGGGGTCTGCCTATCTTTGTTCCCCTCTCAGCCTATTGCCCTGGTACATGCTACTTTGGTGTGTGGTAATGCAGGGGAGTTAAACGTCTTTCCTCTTCTGAAGACTAAGCAGAGGGCGGGCAGACTGACATTTGGAATGGCAAACAAATTTATTGTGTGCATAAGCATGGGAACCTCACAAAATGTAAGACTCAAAGGGCCTGGCAACTGGAGCTTGTCTAATATCCCGAACTACAAGAGAGACACAGAGGCTTGGGGCTTCTAGAAGCAGGTGGCCAGCAGGTGAGGGGGAGGGGGTGAATGCACAGGTAAAAGGTTGCTTTGCTGTGCAGATTCTGGAATGTTAGCACCGCCCTTGGAAGAGTGGTGATGGGCTGTGGCAATCTGAGTGACCTCATGTAGATATCTCTGGTTGGACATGTCTTGGCAAATGCCACCACTTGATGTCTGCCATTCACTAATGTAGACAGATGGACATTTATCCCAAGGGGATGATTTCCAGAGCAATACTTGTGTCCACCCTTCCTGTAAGAAGCCATCTCAAAATATGGTATGAAGTCTATTTTGGGGGAGGCATGTATTGGTCTACTTTTGTACATGCCATAAACTTGGAGTACTAAATCCATGAAAGACTGAAAATTAAACCCAGGAATTTACACATGCTAAACAAGCACTTCCACCATAACTATGGCTATTACCAGCAGGTCTTTGGTGGTGATTAACCCTTCCCCCAACAGGCACAGTTTTTTGTTTTGGGATGTAGTTTTTATTTATAGCCCAGGTCAGTCTCTGTTCTTTATTTGGCCTCGGCTGACCTTGAACTTTAGATCCTCTTGCCTTAGTCTCATGAATGCTGGAATTACAAGTGTATACTACAGGTCCAGCATTACACACACACACACACTTCTACTACTTGAGGTTTCCTTCTTTCTTATTCTCTCTTCCTCCTTCCCATCCCTCTGTCCAGCCATCATTTTACTACATAAACCAGGGTGGCCTCACACACCAGGTAAAACCCCTGTCTCAGACTCGTGAGTGCTGACAGGGCTGACATTCCAGCCATGTGCCACCACACCCAGCTTGAGGCCTTTCCTTCATCCCATGTCAGGTGTAGTGTCACAATCAGAAATCTAGTTGTATTTGATTTTATAAAGGCATGGTTTCAAAGCCACACCAAGTCCCTGGGGTTAACAATGGTGGGGACTTATTTCCTCACAGGGTCTCATGTTGTCTCTGACTGGCCTCAAACTCACTGTGGTCAAAGATGACTTTGAACTTCTGATCCTCCTGCCTCCACCTCCCAAGTGCTGGGATGGCACATGGGCATCATCATGCCTGGTTTATGTGGTCCTGGGGATGGAGCCAAGGCTTTAGTGTGCTAGGTGAGCACTCTACTGGCCGAACTACTTCATCTCCCAAGGATTTACTTTTGTTTGTTTGTTTTGAGGCAGGGTTTCTTTGTGTAGCCCAGACTGATCTGGAACTCACTGTGTAGACCAGGCTGGCCTCGAATTCACAGGTTTCTTCTTCCCTAGCCCCCAGTGCTGGGGTTAAAGACCTATGCCACGACACCCGGCCCAAACCCCAAAGAAAAAAAAGTCCTTTTCTCTTTCTTCTTGAGATGGGTTATCGATGTTATCCAAATTAGCTTACATTGCTCATCTCAAGCTATTCTACTGTCTCAGCTTCCTGATCATCTTTGACTGTATAAATTGCCCTCACACTTGTTTTGTTTTTAAAATTTAAGATCTGGGGCTTTCCATTTTGGTGTCAATGAATGAACAATGCAGGACTTCCCCAACAAGAGCCTTATGTCACTCTACACTCTTAAATGTATCTTAAAAAGTAGGCCTGGGGCTAGAGAGATGGCTCAGCGGTTAAGAGTACTGGCTGTTTTTTCCAGAGGTCCTGAGTTCAATTCCCAGCAGCCACATGGTGGCTCACAACCATCATGTAATGACATCTGGTGCCTCCTTCCGACCTGCAGGCACATATACAGACAGAACATAATAGATCTTTGCGGAGTGGTGATGGCGGCACACACTTTTAATCCCAGAACTCAGAAGGCAGAGGCAGGTGGATCTCTGAGTTGGAGGTCAGCCTGGTCTACACAGTGAGTTCCAGGACAGCCAATGCTACACAGAGAAACCCTGTCTCTAGAAAAGCAGACAAACAAATAGAACCAGCCAACTTGCTGCTCTCTCTGGGATTACAGACACACTACACCTGGCTTCAGCCTCAAGCCCAATTCCTTCAATAACTTGAGCCCCGACGATAATCACCAACTAGAAAGTTTGTAAACACGTACGCCCGAGTGTGTTTTTTCATTTAAAATTTTATTATATGTATGTGTCTGTGCACACCAGTGCAGTTGCTCATGGAGACAAGAGGGTGTTTGATCCCCTGGCGCTACAGTTACAAGTTTGTGCGGCGTGGGTGATGAGAACCGGAAAAGGAGCGGTATGCACTCTCTACCAGAGCCATCACCCCAGCTCTATTTTTGCTTTAAAGTCTGAAAATAACTCATTTGTCTACAACTCCAGCTGCTGGCGTGGTTGGTTTAAAATACCACACAGCTGTTATTCTTGCTTCCGTTTTGGTAGCAGCAGCATTTGGATAATAATTTGCCTGGCTACTATTGCGGTTTGAGCTGTAAACACACGAAACAGAAAACAAAACAAAACAACTCCAACTCATTAAAAGACTGCTAGAAACATCTGGGTTCGGCGCCGACCCCCCACCCCTTCCCACCCATCTCCTGCGCACGCGGGCACTGCGCGGCCACCGAGGCCCCACCCAAGCCCGTCTCCTATTGGTCCAGGAGGTGGCGCCGGACGTGCGCGCACGCGCGCCCAGGTGCCCGGATGG